TATAATGACATGTGCAAAGACTTGGAGACAGAGAACCAAAAGGAAAGAACACGCTCAGCATTTCTCAAACTGAAAAAACTGAAGAAAAAATTCAAGCCTCAAGCCTCAAGTTGCAATACTGAAGGATTCGATAGCAAAAATACTGAACGATGCAGGAAAACATCAAAAGATGGAAGGCATACACAGTCTGAACCAAAAAGAACTGGTTGATGTTCAACTATTTCAGGAGGTAGCATATGATCAAGAACCAACGGTACTGAAAGAAGAAGTCCAAGCTGTACTGAAGGCATTGGCGAAAACAAGGCTCTAGGAATTGACAAAATAGTTACAAGTGTCCATGTTTCTATATTTAAACTGCTCTTCAAAACAGACTCCAACTGTTCTTTTTCTTTTCCAGTGATTAAAATATAAGATTAGCTTTGGTTAGTTCATAAGAATCTAAAAATCTGTTATATCTCATTTGAGTTTTTACATGGAATTACTTTTTATTAAAGTTGGCAACATTTTTTTAAAGAAAATTCAATGCTATAATTATGTATCTAATTCTTATACAATTTGCATTGGCATGTTTCAGCTTGAGACTAGTAAAACATTCATTTTTAAACAAAAGGACTTAGTTGTTCTTACAAAATTCTCCTATAAATATATGACATTTATAGTTTAAAAGCAAACCAATATCTGTAATATTGATGAATAACAGTATGGTACATCACAGCATACTTGAGTAATTATGGTTTATCTTTATGTATCTTCATTATATCATATGTACATACACATATAGAGAGATAATTAAGTTTTTAAAAAGTCCACAACACAATTGCTATTAGATAAACGTGTTTATTAACATTTTAGGTTTTTTTCATATATACTTTAATACATATGCATTAAAATATTACAAAAAATTACTATAATCTGATGGTAGTAGAGATTGATTGCTTATTTGAAAGTATTAACTTCATATGTATCAAAATGCACCATCCTCAACTATATAGAGTACAAAATGCTTCAAGTATGAAAAAAATAAAATAGAGAAGTAATTTATCATACCTCCCAGCCTTATAAAGAGTTGCTAGCTAGCACAAAGAACTGACTTATTTTACAATGAAAATTTACTTTGATAGTTTGAAGGCTAGTACTACATAGGACATTTTCCAAAAGACTAAAGAGATGCTTCAGGTAAAAACAAATGTACAAAATACAAAAATTATCAGTAAGGTTTTTAAAAAAGAACACATTATAAAATCAGACAATCATTCTTTTAAAAAAGGCTTATACATTTCTTCTGTTCAAACAGATTGAAACAATTCAGGCATTTTAAAATATTTTAGAAACACTTCCTCAAAAATTTCCAAGACAGTAAGTAGCTTTCAGACGTTCCCTCAACCCCAGTGTTGCTCAGATGAAGTAAATCTTGTGAGAACTTACCACCAACCACAAGCTTTTGACAGCATGGACCATGTCCTACTCTTCTTCTTACAACCAGTGCTTAGAAACAGGCACTCCTCAACAAATACTCACTGAACTGTTGAAATTATAAGTCAAAATATCAATTAATAAACAGTCTTTGGAGGGTTATGTGAAGTTTACACAAGTACTCATAACAAACAAGAATGTTCTAGTTTATCCTAAATGCCCTAGCTCTTATGAGTACTACAAAGAAGCAATTAAAAGGGAAAAATTTTCTGAGTAGTCCATCTAACATGGGATTGTTATAACTGAAAAGCAGTCAGAAATTTTAAGAGGCAACCTAAATATTGCTGTTGTGTGCCACTGAGTCGATTCTGACTCATAGTGACCCTACAGCACAGAGTAGAACTGCCCCATAGTGTTTCCTACACTGTAATCTTTATTGGAGCAGATTGCCAGGTCTTTTCTGCATTAGAGCAGCTGGTGGGTTTGAACTGCCAATCTTTTGGTTACTTAGCGTTTAACCACTGCACCACCACCGCTCCTTATTGTTAGCTATACTCAATCTTATTATATGGTATCTAGCAAGTTAGTAATTAACAGTACCACATAATTGTTTAATATAGTCTCCATACACAGGCCTACTTTTAAAAGTAAGTCATTAAGGATAAAACACTTTCAATCTGTAATTATATTTAAACCATTAATTTAGATTTTACATTTCAAAGTCTGTTAATTTAACATAGATAGCCAAAAGTCGATATTTGAAGAAAAAGGTTTTCAGTACAGGGTGTGAACAATAAATAAAACCAAAACCTGTTGCCGTTGAGTCGATTCCGACTCACAGTGACCCTACAGGACAGAGAACTGTCCCCATAGGGTTTCCAAAGAGCAGCTGGTAGATTCAAACTGTCAGTCTTTCGGTTAGCAGCCAAACACTTAACCACTGCGCAACAAACAGAAGATCGTAAAAGGCATGTTTAACCCAATCATACAAAGCACTTTCCGTTAAAAAAAAAAAAAAAAACTCCACCTATACCTGTAGTTTAAGTCAAAAGGAATTCAATAATTTAAAAATCATATACTTTTAATTTTCGCTTGTCCTTTCTTTCAAACAGATCAGGTTTCAGTGTACCTGAAGCAAAGTAATAACTAAGTATCTCTTTTCTTCTTCAGGTTGTAAAACAGATAGCTATAACCAGAAAACTAAAACTCAGGATCATGATCTGTCTCCAAGATTAAACTTTGATGATTCTAAGCAAGGAAGCAATATTTACATATTCAACAAGTACTGAATATTCACAGGGAAGCTACTATGCTAGATACTCTAAGAATTTAAAAATAAACCCACATGCACATATTAAAAGGACACTGGCTTCAAAGACTATACAATCTAGTGAGGGAATAACATACGACATGTAGAGGGTAATCTCTGAATCTGTTAAGTGATAATAAAACGTCATCATTCAAACTAATTCTGGGAGAAAAACTTAGTTGCCTACTTCCTCAAAAACAATATCTAAAATTTTAAACTGAAAAATCTCCTACTTTTCAAATGCCTAAAAATAAGCGTTCATGTTTTAAGTAAAAAGAGCTAAATATAACCCTTCCTTACCTAAAAGTGATATTGTTCACCTGTCACCTAACTCTAAATCTTCAGAAATTTAATCCAAAATGTGAAGACCAACCAGCAACAGTAATTGAAACTAAGTGTAAATGTTTATTAAAGTTTAGTAGTCACCTTGGAAACATGCCCCTGAAGTGTGAGTATAAAGAAAGAACTTAATTCCAAAAGGAAAAGCTATTGGTACAAAGGAAGCAATCTCCTAAATCCAAATGGCATAGTGGAGATCAGCTATAGTTGGTTCCTCTGGGCATGAGAGAGGTGGTGACTCCAGCAATTATTTATTTACACTTCTAAGTGTGACGTGGCTCAAGTAACTCATTGGTGTACAAAAAGTAGAAAGGGATTTTAAAAATATGAACATTAAATAACTATAACCTAAAGTAAAATCATGTGAGCCGTTCAGATCTTCGTAAGATCTGAAAAAAATGCATGTTTCTAGATTGAGTGTAGAACCTAAATTCTCAACCTCTTTTCCGAGTCTGCCATAAACCTCTTTTATGGAGTCATAAACAGAGGTTTATGTCATGGGTTATATGGGGTATTCCAAAAGGTAAACTCAGATGCTGAGCAAATTTTGAAAAAGGTGAAATGGAAATAAAATACTACCGAAACTCAAAATTGACACAAATATCAGTGGTACATCAGTATTAGTTCCTTAACATGAGCTGTGGCCGACAGCAGGGGTACAGTTTATACCAACTCCCTGCATACCAACCGCAACTCCACATCTTTCTCTCTCACTCAACAATGCTTATCAAAATGCAAGTCAATCAGTAACAATGGAATGCTAACCTTGAATTTTCTCTAATTTGTTTTTAAAAAGTAAATTAGTCACAAGCAAAATACTAATACCAATCACAAACAAAATGCTAATACTTCATATGAGTAATAATTAACTTGTGACACTTCATAAATGACGGTAACATTCACGTGTTGGGATACCAGTTACTAATCACTGCTCTAGAATTTTATCAAGGCTTTAGAAAATAAAACTGTGTTTCTCCGAGTACAGGGATTTATTCAAAGAATTTTACACTTAAAGGAGATAAATTTATAAAATTGCTAATAAGGAAAATGAACTCTGTTCAGAGGTCTCACATTCTTGGCCTTTGCTGATGCCCTCACCTGTATATAAAATATATACCAATAATGACTATTTGAGATTATAAACAGTTAGACAAAGGGTGGCATGGGGGATCATGTTATAAAAGCTGATATGAAGGGTTAGAAGACTGGTTTGCATAGGGGAAAGTCTTAAGGCAACAGGGTAGCTGTATGCCAGAGTAAATTACAGTAAAACCTGTGAAAGCCAGAACTTGCGTAAGGTGGAAACCTGTCAGAGAAGGAAAACTCAAATATTTTCTACTGATAGTGACAGAAAAGTGGTAAGACTGCACCCTGTCAAAGGCGGAAAACTTGTGAGACCCAGAAAAACAAGGCAGACCCATCGACTTCCGGCTCTCACAGATTTCACAGTAAATGCTACATGAAAACAGTAAACGTCTTAAGTGTCAGAACTCCAGTGAGGACAAAACTGTGAATGCATCATATGGTCAACACGTCAGGGCCCATCACCATCTAAACCCTTTCTCAATGTTTCAATTCAGAGGCTTGAAGTTTTATGCCAGAGGAGATCTGGTTATATGATATAAATCAAAGATAAACAGGTTTTATTTTACTGTTATATACAGAATCAACCAACTGCCATCAAATCGATTCCAACTCACAGCAACCCTGTAGGACAGAACTGCCCCATAGGGTTTCCCAGGCCATAAATCTTTACAGAAGCAGGCTGTCTGCCACATCTTTCTGCCTCAGAGCAGATGGTGGGTTTGAACTGCCAACCTTTCAGTTAGTAGCCAATAACTTAACCACTGCGCCACCAGGGCTCCTGTTATATAGAACAGGAGTTGGCTTTTTTTTTTCCTCCCTGTAAAGGGCCAGATAGAAATGGTTTAGGTTTTGTAAATCACATCCTGTCTCTGTTGCATTTTTTTTTTAAACAACTTTTTCAAAATTGTAAAAACCATTCTTAGCTCGCTGGCCGTATGAAAACAAGCTGTGCAGGCCATATCAGGCCATAGTTTGCAGACCATGATAGGGAAGAAAAGCAATTCTCAACTATAACCCTCCCAAAAATAACCCCTCTCTTTCTTACAACTTCAAATAATTTTAGATAGAATAGTAATTAAAGGTCCTAAGGTCTGTAAGGATAAATGATCTAATCTAACCCTCATTTTCCAAGTGACTTGCTTACAGCAAAGAGGCCAAATTTTCACTTTCCTTTCCTTCCCCTTCCATTTTTGGAATGCTTACACTCAAATTTGGGAATTTCCTCTAAAATATACTAGAGCTTTTCCATATTCACAGCTTAAAATATCTGTTTTACCAGATACTTTTTCTCACACTTTTATCATGTTCAAGAAATACACACAAAATAATAATCATGAAAAACTTATAGTAATTTTTAATTAATATTGGACCAGGATGGGGCTTAAGGAGGCTTAGAATCCAGTAAACGGTAATATTGTCAAGCCACCAGGCTGGCTTCTGAGTAGAAGCCTTCATAGAGCTGCTAGGTGAAAGGGACCAGTTATATGACATTAAAGAGTCAAGCAGGGCATGGTGGACAGCCACTGCTTCTCACATCAAATGCTTCTAGAACACACTGGACTACCAGGCAAAAATCTTATAGGAAGAGTCTACTCCTATCTGTCTACAATTTTTCCGATTACAGTAATACTGAATTAGGAACAGCAATTTAATGCCAATTCTCAGAGTGAATTATAAAAAGAAAACACGTTCTCGTTTTCCTTCCAATGGTAGAACTAAAGCTTATTCTTTGTACCTGAGTTTCGAGTTGTTTCCCACAAGCATTTCTAGGATTAAAAGTGTAGTTTTCTTATAAATAGATTCTCTAAACCAAAACAGGTATAGTCAGATATTCAAAATGTACTTTCCCTGAATTTAGAACTTGAATTTTAAAACTACTTTCTAAAACACCAAAAGCGTCTTTCATGTGCGTCAATTCTGAATACAAAGTTTTAAATCTATTAGGACCTTTTTAAATACACTTACTCAACAACATGTAAATTTATAAAATATTACTGCTGATAAACCACGTATCATCCAGGGTGTTTAAGAAATGCTATCACATATCAGTTTCTGAAAGATCACAATTCCATCAAGTACAGAAATTGGTAAAAATTTTCGTTTTAGACATGTGGCAACGTGTTTTCTACACATTACATATCCTTACTTTTCAGGTAAGAAGAATTTGACTCCTTTATGATTAAAAAACAAGCACTTCCTCCTTCATTAAAAATGATTAAAGGAAAAATCATCACTTCTTAGTAATTCGTAAGTGGCTCCCCAATCTTCCTTTTATTCTACTGTATTTAAAAATTCTTCTTCTTGAAGTTGCAGCCTGAAGTCCTCTCTGATACTTTCTAGCAACTCTGGTTTAAAGATAACATCCAGCGCAGTCATTGCCAAAGCTTTGGCCGTACGCAAAGTATAGAACTGAGCTTCGTGTGCTCCTAAAAGGTAGAGAATATAAATAAAAATACCTCTGTATTTATTACAAATTAACTTCCCAGGTTAGTTCTCAGTATCTAATTTGCCTCTCCAACTTCCCACTACAATATGGTATTTTCTGAGGTGATGTCCGGTAATGAAATAATAACAGGTTAAACTAAACAGTTAGAAAGGCAGCTGCGATTAGAGAGCACACGTCAAAATATTCACTTCTAACAACACTTACCTGCAGCTTCAGTATATTGTTCAGTATGATTCAGGGCATTAGAGCCAATGTAAAAATATGGATGAATTCCAGGAACCACAAAAGTAACATTTCCAAAATCAGTCGATCCTTAGAACACACAAGTAAGAAAAGTAAATGTGATCAATATTTTTTAATTATGAGGTTATAACCAAAATTGTATACTTGGTTATAGTTCTATACCCTGTTAGAAGAGATCTAGAGACGCGAACTTCCTGGAAAGTTGTCCATATGCTCACTACTTTCATTGCTTCACCATCTACTGAGTCCTCAATCCACTCAATCCTCTTCTACCTCCATCAGTCACCACAGCAGCCCTCATGAAGGTACCAAAAACCTGGCCTCACCAATCCCATGGCTACTTTTCAGTCTTCATCTGAGCCATCATTATCTCTTGCCTGAACTAATAGTCTCCTAACTGATCTAGCATTATCTATTCTGTCTGCCAATATTTTCAACTTTTACTTCATCTATAAGCCTTACGTGGTCTGGCTCTATTTACCTTTCCAACTTGATCTCATATCATGCCACTACTTATCTTCTATACCCCAGCTACTCTGGACACTCACCATGCTCTCTCCTGACCCAAGACCTCTGTACACGTCCCCTCTTCACCTATGGAACTCCTACTCACCCTTAGATATCATCTTAAGCTTCCTTAAGGGAGCCTTATTTCACCTCCTTGGTAAAGGTCAAATTCCTCTATCATAAGCTCTCACAGAATTGTGTTATACTCCTTCACAGCACTTTTCAGCTTTAGTTTTTTGTTTATTGATTATTTGGCTAATGTCTGTCTCCCTAATTAGATGATTAAGATCTATAAAGCCAAAAATGGTATTTTAGATCACCATGAATAGGTCTGTAACATGACTGACAAACTTTTGTTGAATAAATAATAGTAAAAATAATGCATTAAGCTCACTTACTAGGTATTTACTGAATGCTTACTACATGCCAAACACTATGCCAGGCAAAGTTAGACATCCAAGAATGAGCGGTAAGGGAATAAAAAAGCACAATAACATATAACAAACAGCAGCTAACATTTAGCTAGAATTACTGTGCTGCAAACACAGTGTTAAGTGCTTTATATGTATTCTCATTAATATTTTGAACAATGTCCATTTTATAGTAACATGGAGAAACCAAGGCTTACAAATACCAAATAACTTGCCCACAGTCTCACTGCTACTAGTTAATGGTAAGCCAGGCTAAAGCCAGACTTTGAACTTAGGCAACGTGGCCTCCATGAAAATGTACAGCTTCAGGAAATAATTTACTAAGTACTTAACTGTGCGTGACATGGTTCCAGACACTGAGGATACAGTGGTTACAGTAGAGCAGTACATACGATAGATGAAAGCCTGCTGCATACTTAAAGATCTTACTTGCAGGGCTAGATCCCTGCACCTACAAATCATACCCAAATTGTAGTCACTTTATTCTACCGTTTTGTCCACTATATAAAACTTAAACCCTGGGGAGATCTAACCTGCGCCTTCCCTCCTACAGCTAGACTGCAGAAACTTGCTAGGGTAAAAGTACAGGACCATGAAGATTGCCAGGACAACAAATTCCTGGTCTTCACCCTCAGCTGACCTCTCAAAGAGGTTCAGGGGAAAACAAACAAACTCTAATGTCCCTGGCCAACTCATCTCAGTGGTTATTCTCTTTCAATCCTCCACTCCACCACCTCGATACTCACTCACCAACTGCTACCAACTGCTTCCTAGGAAGTGTCTGAACCCCTGACCTTGCCGGAACACCTACCCATATTTACTTCTACCCTTAACTCCTGACATCCATCTCAGTAGAATATGTATCCATCCTCCTAATCATGGCTAAACCTGCTATCTATGTTCTAGATCCTATCCCTTCTGACATCAAGAATTCTATCAGTCACTTCCCTCTCGACTTATATCTTCAACCCCTCCCTCCCTATGGCTCTTTCCCTTCAGTCTACAACCCTACTCAAGGATCTTCTTTTAAAAAATCTTTTCTTCTCCCTATCTCCCTCAAGCTGGTATCCACCCTATTTTCCTTTAAAGCTAACTTTTCTTGAAAAAGAATAGTCTTCTTTTCCTATCGCCACTATCTCACCAGTCAGTCAGTAGGTAGAAAAGTGAAATCTGGCATTTGGTCTCACCAGCCTTCAATCATTTTCTTCAAGACAATCCATCAGTTTCTAATTGCTAGTCCAATGGGCACTAGACCATACTTACGTTATTCAATCTCTCTAGCAGCTAAAATGACTTACTTTTCCTTCCCTTCTAAAAATTCTCCAGTCCCTTGGCTTCCCTGACTCCACTCTCTCTTGATATCTAGCTTTCTCTCTAGCCCTTCTCTATCATCTCCTCTACATCACTTCATTTGCCTATCTGTTAAATGCTGGTGATCTCCAGAGTTTCACCTTTCAGCCTCTTCTCCCTCTATGTACTTGGGCAACTCACTAACACCTACAGCTTCAATTATCTTCCATATACTGACAACTCCTAAATCTCCAACCTAGACATATCTTTTGCGGGTTCCAGATTCAACCGACTACTGACAACTCTACTTAGAAATCCTATAGGCACCTCAAATTTAACATGCTAAATAATTTATACAAACACGCTAATAATTTATACCAATTTATACCCCAAACATGGAAGCAGCAGTTAAGAAATCAAATGGTGTACTGCATTGGGAAAATCTGCTGCAAAAGACCTCTTTAAAATCTTGAAAAGCAAAGATGACACTTTGATGACTAAGATGCACCTGATCCAAACCATGGTATTTTCAATCGCCTCATATGCATGCAGAAGCTGGACAATGAAAAAGGAAGGCCAAAGAAGAATTGCTGCATTTGAATTGTGGTGTTGGCAAAGAATACTGAATACACCATGGACTGTCAGAAGAATGAACGAATCAGTCTTGGAGAAGTACAGCCAGAACACTCCTTAGAAGTGAGGACGTCGAGACTCTGTCTCGTTTACTTTTGACACGTCATCAGGAGGGATCAATCACTGGAGAAGGATATCATGCTTGGTAAAGCAGAGTGTGAGTGAAAAAGAGGGAGATCCTCAATGAGATGGACTAACACAGTGATTATAACAATGGGCTCAAACATAACAATTTTGAGGAAGGCACAGGACTGGGAAACATTTAGTTCTGTTATATATAAGGTCACTATGAGTCGGAGCCCACACAATGGCAACTAACATCAACAACGATATACCTCAACCTGTCCTTTCTCTTGAACTCCTTAATCTCAATGAATGACAATGACACCCCACTGTAATCACCAACTCTACTTGAGTCTACTTTATCAGCATCTATTATTATATTTTAGGAGCTATATCTCTAACTTGGCAAATGTATTAGTAATAAAATGCTTTTAAAGGAAAAGTTTAAAAATAAACCTGAAGTACACTTATGATTATTTAAATTCTCAACAGTTGTCTTTTACTCCTCAAAAATTCAAAATGCCCCAGATAACTAGGTAGTTACCTTATTTTGAGGACTGAGAAAAAATTAAAATTCTGTATCACTTTTTGATAAAAAATGATTCTGACTCATAGTAACCCTACAGGACAAGGCAGAACTGTCCCCATAGGGTTTCCAAGGAGCAGCTGGTGGATTCAAACCGCCAACTTTTTGGTTAGCAGCCGAGCTCTTAACCATTACATCACCAGGGCTTCAGCCTTTCTGATAGTTTACTTAAAAATCAGAACTAAGCAAATTTAAACACTATAAAGACTTGACATGTACAGCAAAAAGTAAGTAAACCCCTTGCTACTGAGTCGATTCCAATTTATAGCGATCATACAGGACACAGTAGAACTGCCCCATAGGGTTTCCAAGGAGCAGCTGGTGGATTTGAACTGCTGATTTGGTTAGCAGCCACGCTCTTACGCACTGAGCCATCAGGGCTCCAAGTTAGCTATTTCTAAAAAAAGAAAAAATCTGCTCATTTGACATTCACTCAGTGAAAAGTCCATTTTAGTTTCTTCCCCCTAACCATTAAGTTTGTGAAAAGCACTGTGAAGATTTCAGTAGTCACCTGCCTCCTACCATCAGCCTCCCCAGCCATTACACAAAACCATTTAACCAAAGTTGGTATTTTCTCTTCCTCAAATAGCTCAATACATAATGAAAGAAATTAATTACCTGATGGGCTATTCAGCATTACATCTTCTGAAATGAATTCTATTCCCAGCTTTTTCCCATTTTCCATGTAAGCTTTCCACAGGCTCTTATTGGGAAGAACATTGTAATAATCATGCGCTCCACCTTTAATTTCTACCTAATAAAAAATTTTGAAACAAAAAACTCAAACTATTTAATTTTCAAACCAGTGATATACCTTTAACAGAAAAAGGTTTTAAGAGGAAGCACTTTCTCTTCTGGACATAAACTTGCTCAACTCTCTTACCTTAAAAAATATATGTATTTTCTATAGCAAGCCTAGGACCCTATCTCCTTCATGTTATGTATGCACCAAAACCACACGATGTCACCAAACTCTACTCGCCAGTGAGTCTCAACTTTAGTAGGTCAGAGTGTGGGGTACAGTCCAGAAATCTTCATTTTAACCAGTACCTCCAAGTAATTCTGATGCAAGTGGTTCAAAAACCACACTTTGAGGAACACTGCTTTAGGCTGTAGCCTCCAAAAGAAAGAAATTAACCTTTATTAATATTCAATATACAAAGTGCCAATGACAATACTGCCTGGTCTGAAAGGTGTAAAAGTACCCTGAGAGAAAGACAGAAGTTTTATAATGATGAAGGACTGACAATAGTCCAAATTTATTTATTTCAGCATATGAACATATATAACAAATCAAACCCATTGCCATCAAGTCGATTTTGACTCATAGTGACCGAATAGGACAGAGTAGAACTGCCCCATAGGGTTTTCAAGGCTGTAAACTTTACAGAAGCAGACTGCCACATCTTTCTCTCGTTGAGCAGCTGGTGGGTTCAAACTACAGACCTTTCAGTTAGCAGCCAAGTACTTTACCACTGCGCCACCAGGACGCCTTATGAACATATAGAAACAGTTTATATGTGACCAGTTAAGTGGATGTACAGATTTAGTCTTTGATTAAATCAAAACGGGCAAGATTTCCTCAAACTAAAGATAATACCAATAACACAAGCAAAAGCTAATAGAAAATGTCAGAGATGACATTTCTTCTATTCCTAGTAAAATCTAAGGTGGCAACAATAACAACCTAATCGGAGTCTTAGAAATCAGTCAAAATATGAGAAAATATTAAGACTATTTAAAATACAGATTTAAATCCATGATAGTTTACGATAAGCCTTACCCTAAGGGAATATTGTTCCTGGAGATACTGGCGACAGCAGTTCATGTATGTTTTATAAATAAATATTTTAAACATATTTATAAATAAATAAGGGGATGAACGCTTAATTTTGTACTGCTCTAGGCTATTGGACTCTTTAGAGTACTCATATACTAAATCTATATCTATCTTCTCTAGTAGCATATGAAACTATATCCTTGCTCTTACATTTTGTCCATATACAATAAAACCTGTGAGAGCTGGAACTCAACGGGACTGCCTTGTTTTTCCAGCTCTCACAAGTTTTCCACTTCTGACCAGATGCACTCTTACCACTTTTCTATCGCTTGTTTTAGTGGAAAATATTTGAGGTTTCCTTCTCTGACAGGTTTCCACATTACACGGGTTCCAGCTTTTGCAGGTTTTACTGTATTTATCCACTCACTGCACCAGACCATGACTTTTTACATTCCTATCTTTGCTCACTCCATTTCCTAAGAGATCGCACTCTCTATCCTTCACATCCGAAAGTATGATCTCCTTCAAAGCTCAACTCAGATTTATAGTACTCCATGAAACCTTTCCCTTTAACAGCCCAGACCACCTCTTTCCTGCCTCTGATCCCTTTTGGCACTTACTATCTATACAACTCTTTGGACACTTGAAATATTACATATACTGTCTGAGAATTACTGTTAGTGTAAGACATTGGTACTGATCCAACTAAGTCATAAATCTCCAGTCTAATGAGGGCAGAAAAAAATAAGGTGATAGGTAGGAGGGCTTACTATGGGGTAGGCCCTAAACTCTTGTTTTTTTTGTCTTTCAAAGTACCATTTTGTTTTTTTACTGCTGTAATTAAATGAAGTTTACATTTCAAGTTAGTCTCCCATACAAAATTTTTTTTTTTTTACATACATTGTTATGAGACCCCAACCGCTCCCCCCATTCTGCAACAGCACACTCCTCCCCTCCACCCGATTCCCCATAAACATTCAACCAGCTCCTAACGCTCTCTGCCTTCCTGTCTCACCTCTGGACAGAAGCTGCCCCATTGGTCTCTTGTATCTACATGACTAAGAGGTACACTCTTCACGAGTATCACTTTATGTCCCACAGTCCAGTCCAATCCCTGTAGGCCCTAAACTCTTGATAAACATTATCTCATTTAATCCTCACAAGAAGCCTAAGATAAATAATATTACTATCCTCATTTTTCAGATGATAAAAAGGGGGCCCAGATATCAAACAATGTTTGCAAAGTTTACATCGTCAGTGAGGCTTCGAGGCACAGGTCCAGATCCTGTCTCTCCAACTAGACCACAGGCTCCCCCAGGGTAAGAATCAAGGTTTATATAATCCTGAAGCTTCCCATCCCACTGTACTTCATACATGATTGGGACTTAAATTTTAAGTTACTGATTTTATGGTTCAAATGAACAAACCCTCTTGCCCAACTTCTGTTGTGTGTCTATTTTAACTTCCATTCCAGCAAGGCAGAAGTATTTATATCACTACTACACATATCTGTAACTTTACTAAAAATAGCTTTGCCTGATTTTGCCATAAAGTTCCCTTTATAGGAACTCCAGAGAGCAATTCTAAAAGCCTAACTTTTAATAAGGAAAGGTGTAACTTGCAAATAGGCAGGGATTCTAGCACAGGAATATCAGAATTATTCTAATTACTGCATGAGTGAGATTACTGGTAGTCTTCCCTATTGCAGGAATTGAGTAATACATATTTACAAAAATACATATATACACACACACACATATAAATAATTGACTACTCAGTCAGCTGATTTAACATATTCAAAACATCACCAAACAAAAGAGGCAAAAACTCGTTGCCATCAAGTCGATTCTGACTCATAGTGACCCTATAGGACAGAGTAGAACAACCCTATAGGGTTTCCAAGGAGTGGCTGGTGGATTCAAACTCACAACCTTTGGTAAGCAGCCGAGCTCTTTACCACTGCGCCACCAGGGCTCCAAAAAAGAGGTAAGTTAGGTTTTAATCTAACTTACTATAAACAGCCCCAGCCCACTTATATACCTTTGATTATAGCTTAGATTAACTCTTAAAAGTTCTTACTGTGCAACCTGTAGCCAAAGCTGCAGCTCTGAAGCAATCTTCTGCCTTTTTAGTCAAAACTGGAAGCTCTTTCACTGAGGGTGCACGGAAGTAATAGATTAATTCAGAATAACAGGGAATGATATTGGGTTTTACACCACCATTTTTTATTATACCTATAAAAAGAACCAAATTACTGGAATTAAGCTTGAAGATCATTTCTTTAAGCTTAAATATACCCAATAAAGTGTTTCAGCCAATACATACATAAGAAAAATAATTTAAACTTATTAGCTTCACAGAAATACCAAGCAAATATTTTAATACATTGTACAATATAAGTTTCTAAACACAAGGTGATAGTTTCTGGCTAGTAAGAATAAAAATAATTGTCTATATGTACTTTATTCTAAGAAACATATAATATTAAGATGTTGTGATTCTATATTATAAAGAAACTGTTAGAAATATATACAACTAACTATAAAAAATGAAGAGTAAATCTTCAGCTTTTTGGAAAAGACATTTCAATAAGCTTTATTACAATTATACATTTTTATCAGGTTTTGACATTAAAAAGAAGAAAAAGAAAAAAACCAATGGTATGTGATCCTATGATTACTTTGTACCTCAAGAGTCCCATGAATATTTTAAATGGCATTTAGCTCTAGGGTAATTTTCATGCCAAGAAAAAAACAATGCAGGTCAAAGATTACTTAGTACAATCAACTATCAAAACAAATTCATTTATTTGAAACTACACTGAGGATAAAGATCTGTCCATTCAAAGTAGTAACTAAAACATATGCAAAGTCTAATTTTATATGACCTACTTAAAAAACGTACTATTTCTACATATTCTTGTTTGTTCTTTTTAAAGAAATTAAGGCAGGGAATTAGTAAAAGCATGATTACAAACTGACTTCAGCCTACAGCAAAATCAGGTAAAGAAGAGATATGAAAGCATAACAGTTGCCCAAATCATAGGGGAAAAAAAATAAAAAGGGAAAGAAATTTGTTCCTTTAAGACTGTACTTCACTACAGTACTTGTATCACGATACACATAATTTTGAAAGATGTTATTCATGATCCACAGCACTTGAGAATAATACTAGTAATCATTATATTTATTGTTTAAAAGAGAAAATGACAAAATTTTGCTATTAAGAGACAGTGAGAATAACTGGAAAATCAAGTTCCAACTTTCAACTACTCACAGAAAAAACATAATTTTACATAAAATTATTATCTCTGATACTGAAAGATGACCATTCCATTTATGTATAAATAATCTTAACTTCTTCTTACCCACATATAGACAAACATCCTAGTATTCTGTCATATGAATTTCTGAAATATGTTTTAAAATTTTGTACTATTCATATGAAGTACATAAAATGACTCCCTATGTTTTTAAATGAAATAGTAAGTAATTAGATTGCATTAAAATATATTAAGCAGCATTTATTACACAAAGTATTTGACATTTGTACCATGAACTCTCCAGGTTGGTTTCATTTGCTGTCTTAACACAGATAGATTGTTGTAGGCAAGAACAGCAGCATCTAATGCATTTACTCCTTCCCAGGGATAAGCAGCAGCATGAGATGCTTTTCCATAGTATTTCACAGTCACGCTGGGAAATAAAACATCATTTAAAATGGCTTTTTTTATTATCACTAAAGTTAAGAAGATGCAAATAGAATTATCCAACTATTATTCAAAATAATTCACACAGTTGGAATTTAGATTTGCATATCATCGGTAGTAATAACATTGCGATTTACATATATCTGTCCATTATTATGTAACAGTGCTTGACACAAGGAAAACCAAAAACAAAGCCCTTTGCCATCTAGTCGATTCTGACTCATAGTGACCCTACAGGACAGAGTAGAGGTGTCCCATAGGATTTCCAAGGAGCAGCTGGTGGATTCAAACTGCCGACCTCTTGGTCAGCAGCCATGGCTCTTACCACTGCGCCACCAGGGCTCCTGACACAAGGAAGGCAGTCCGAAAATGAGAGAGAGAACTCTGTTTAATAGACCACCCATATAGATTAAATTTGTAGACAATTCAATTCAAACAAATAAGCAGTACTGTATTACGTGCTAGAATCACAAAGATGGTTAAAGCCAGTTGCCGTTGAGACTATTCCAATTCATGGTGACCTCATGTGTGTCAGAATAGAACTTTGCTTCATATGGTTGTCAGTGGCTGATTTTTTTGGAAGTAGATCGTCAGGCCTTTCTTCCAAGGTGCCTCTGGGTAGACTCGCATTGCCAACCTGTAGGTAGGTTAGTAGCTGAGCACATTAACCGCTTGCACTACCCAGAGCCTCTGGTACAGTACTAGTATAATTTACACCACCCCTAAAACCAAAGTTGAAAGACTCTTGCTAGTGTCAAAGTACCAATTCTGGTGATAAGAACAAAGATACTAGAAGAGTTAAGATTATTCCTCTGAGGACAGACCTTGTGAGTTGCCGAGACATACAAGATAACTGTCTACAATCTAGAAGCACTACTTGGCTGGGACAGACGGTTCTGCTACCATTCGCTAGCTACTGCAGAGTTGAACATGGGGTTTTCCTGAAGTAGCTGAGCAGTGGCTCCTTTTGACTGGACCACTAACTGGGCCATTAACTACTATGATTGAAATTTCTGGTGCAAAAATTTCAAACCACCTCAGTGAAGCATACTCCTAGGTAACAAAGAAAGTGAGCTCTTCAACACAGAGAAAGATAAATACAAGGTTTCAGCACCAGTAAATCAGAAAAGAACAGATTGACAAGTTCTCACTAAAATCCACAGTTACCAGGTTCTGTATTCTCTCTTAGGAACATAAATTTATCCTCTTTGCAAAGAACTCAAATTAAAATAAATATAATGTGTTTTTTTTTTTCCAGAGTCTAATAGCACTGCCTCTTGCAAATCTATTCAGTTGCAAAGGCAACTTCCCATCAAAGATAGCTGTTCTCCAGAAACCAAATTACTTTAGATAGTTTAAAATAGAACATAAATATCAACATATTCTGTTTGACGTTTCTATGCTTTTTAGGAACTATTTTAATACTCCAATTATGAACACCATAAGAAGTCTCAATTAAAATAGGCTCAACAAATGACACTCAATGGCAAACAAGACACCATATTTCAATTTACATGTTAAATGTATAAATGTTTTAGTCTCCGGTTAAAATATGTAAGTATTATATGGGCTATTTGCCACTAAGAAGTTAACTTGATCACTTACTCATGTTCAGCCGCATCAGGTAGATAAACAGCATTCTCTTGGGATGGATGGGCCATAAAAACAGCATCAAGATTTTTAAAAGCCCCCGCTTCAATTAAATCAATTTTGCCACCACCATCTTCTTCTGCAGGGGTTCCCAGGACAATTACCTAGAAGGACATACACATGTCAGAGCAAAACAGCAAGAAAGAAATTGTAGTAGGAAAAATATCAAACAGGTTCATTTGCACATATATTCACAATCTAAGTTAACATCCTCACACTATGGAGAGAGGTTTTGTTTTCTGATATTTAAGTAAGGCAGTGGGATAAATATGGTACTGAGATAATCACAAATTTTAATTTACATTGGTTATACTAACTTGGAGCCCTAGTAGCGCAGTGGTCAAGAGCTATGGCTGCTAACCAAAAGGTCAGCAGTTCGAATCCATCAGTCGCTCCTTGGAAACCCTATGGGGCAGTTCTACTCTGTCCTCCTACAAGGTTGCTAAGAGTTGGAATCAACTCAGCAACAGGTTTGGTTTTTTTTTTCATACAACTTGGTGCAAAGTATGTACTAGAGACACTACAGAAAACGTTTCACAATTTTTAACTCAATTTTACATAACTAATGGCAAAGATGAAAAAAGTCAAATACAACATACTTATTTCCTCAAAATTCCTTAGGACTCATCTCTTAAAGCTTCTTGACTAAACTTGTTAATGTATGTATATAATTATTAATAAGCATCTTACTGGTAAGGAATTTTACAGTTACTAATTCATTATCCTCACAACAACCCTGTGAGGTAGGTGAGCAATCTGTATCATCATTTTAGGGAGAATGGTTTTGAGGCATGAGTCAGAATCAACTCTAGGGCAACTGGTTTGGTTTTGATATTAGTTTTGAAGCACAGAGGAGAGGTGTCTCACCCCAGGTCACAGAGCAAGTCTTCAGGCAGAGCTGGGATTAGAACTCAGATGTCCTGACCTTCGGGCCTGAACTCTGATTCCTTATTGAGCTATCTTATTAAAAGGTATTAACCCATTAATCCTTTATGAAGAGCATTAAACAAATCTTAATACCATAATTAGAAACGGCCAACTATTACACAAACTTACTAATTCGATTCCACCAGTTCAACCAGGCAGATTTATTGGTCACCAAACACCTAATTAAACAAAAGAGAACTTTACAGAATAAACATTTTACTTTAATAGTTAAGCTTAACTTCTTCAAACAGTTTTAAAAAGCAAAGAAAAATTACAACTAATATACTTTCGAGATCATGTATAAGACAACAATGAAACAAGCTGGAAAAGCTCTTGGCTTGCAAAGGGAATCGATATAAATTCCATTATCAGATAAAACAGATAACTTTGCTAAAACTGAGAATTATCGTTTGAAATCAGATGTTTGCACATTTCCCAAAATCTTTTTCTTTAAGAAGTTATAAAGCACCCAAAATCTTAAATTAAGCTGCTCTTTACCCTTAACCTTTGACTCGTTAAATATGCTGACTCTTACTGATTTCTCGGAACCTTCCATAAACCTGGTTAAAGCTCAATCTCTCCAGTATTTCATGCAATGGCAAAAGAGGCCCCCACCCAAACAAAACAAAAACCTGACCAGAAGCAGAAACAAGCCCCAGAGGCAGAAAAGAGAAAGCAGCTAAAATGAAAAAGCCACAAAAGATGGAATTGTTAGGATAAAAGAGAAAGGTTACTGATACTGAAAAAAAAAAAAAGGTCTAAAGAACATCAAAATAAAACATTAGTCTTCCCCTTAACCTGAATGGTGGTGATTGTATCTTAGCTCACAGAATGAAGAATATACCATCTGGAAAAACAGAGTAACACAAGATTAAACTTGCCCTATGACAAACATAAACGACATTTTCCTGTTTAAAGAATCAAGGTATTTCTTAAAGAAATAAAAATTAAGACTTAAGGATGAACTCATCTACCTAATAAATGTTCACTTCCCAATTATTTGTATATTTCTAGAGGTTTGGTGGTCCTAACGACTGAAAATTTCCTATCCAAATACCAATTATTCGAATCACAACATCTCCTATGACTGCCACAAACAAAGGATTTGGGGGAGCCTAATAAGGAGGAGCTGTAGGTTTCCTACAAAAATTACTTCCTCTAGAGACTGCGCAACCTTGTCAGCAAATTGTGGTTGCCACTCAATTACCAAAACTAACCCGTAAGGATAACCAGACTTGGTTCTAAGTTCTTTCCTAAGGGAAAATACACTGAATTGTTTACAACTACAGAAAAGGAAACAAAAACCTGCAAAAAAAGAAGTCTCGAAGTCGACAACACGTGAACTACAGGCTTTTATTCAGGGGTTCCGCCTTTCGGCAAAGGCGAGGCCAGGACGTTGAGTACCGTCCCCCTACACCTGCCTAGGGACGGGAGGGGACGATGCACAGGGGATGCACCGGGGTCCTGCCATTCCCGAGCTGCCGCGGAGGACTCAGCGGGCGAGGGAGGACCCCGGGCCGGTCACCGTCTGGAGAGTCTGATGAGAGTCACGCGCCGGCGCCCCACCTCACCTTCACCAGCGGAGACTGCCCGGCGAGACCCTCCAGGGCCCCTTTCACGCCCAGCGCGGCCGCCGCCCCGACCTCGGCAATCAGGTTGTGGCCGCAGGCGTGCCCGATTCCGGGCAGCGCGTCGTACTCGCAGAGGAAACCCAGGTGCAGCGGCCGCCGCTCAGCGCCCGGCGCCACCCGGCCCCCCGGCGGCTCCCACTCGGCCCGGAAGGCAGTGGCCAGCTGGTAGTGCGGCTGCACCGTCCAGGCAGCGGCCGGCGGCTCCTGCTCGAAGAAGCGCGTCAGCACGCCGTGGGCATGATGCTCCTCGTAGGCCAGCTCGGGCTCGCTCCAGATCGCGCGGCTCAGGGCCCCCAGCCGCTCGGCCGCCTCGTCGATGCGCTCCGCGGCGCGCAGCTTCAGCAGCTCCAGCTCACAGACGCCAACGCCGGCGCCCCCTTCCCGGGGCCGCTCCTCCACGGGTCTCATCCTGCCCAGAGCGGGGTACCGGTCTGCAGTCCGGTCGCTGGCTCGCTTGCAGCAGCCCACCGCGTCTGCGCGCGCGCGCCCAGAGGCCGCTAGAATCCCGAGGACGCGCGCCCGCCGGCTCTACAGCTCCGGGGAAGTCCGCCCCCAGCCCTGGGCCTCGCCTCCAGCGCCTCTTGGGAAACGCGATCCTTCCCTTCTCCTCCTAGGCAGGTGCTCCGCCCCCGGGGCAGGAGGGGCGCTTTGACCGAGACTGGGTTCCGGCCCCCGTCTTCCTTCTTTCTCGGTCCCTAGCTGCCCTGACCGTGCATGGCAATTGAATTATGCTCTAAAATCATTGTTACTTTTCCGTTGTTGCTTATTTCCCATAGCAGAAAGGTTCTATTAGTTAATAGTCATCAGTGACAGAACAAGTAAAACATTGTCCCTAAAAGAGGGTGCCAAATACTCCAAACACGTCTCAGTACTGCCTCCACTTTCTCCTCTTTGAGGGTGCTGTATTGTCTAAAAGCTGCAATTAACGCTATATAGTTTTCTTATCAGAACCCAAATTTACTAATGTCTAGAACAGAACTTGGAATACAAGAAGCTCTCGATATGTATTCACTATTCTAATATTTACTAGAACTAAGAATTCAGAATGAATTTTAAAACAAACCCTCAGACCGAAGAGTTACTGAAAACATTTATAGTAATTTCATATTGTTTTGTTGATTTGGCCATTTGTTTTGAATAACAGACGGCTTTGAAACGGAACATATGATTAGTTTCGTTTATAACTCTGATACTGGACACGAGTAACATGAACTGTGCAGCTGGTGTTCATATTATAGGGTGGGTTTTAAATTAAACTCAATGAAGAAATTCAAGATGCCATCCATACTCTTGTTTTTCTCCAGAGCTAAGCACAAAGTCTAAAAAACTGTTGTTGATAATATGCCTATTAATAGCACTGTAGAGGTTTATATTCTGAGGTGTACCACGTATTAAAAGCTTCCATCAGCTCCTTATATTCCAGTCTCTTTCCTTAACTTATTACAACTAGGTTAAATAGTACAATATATTCTTATAATAAACTGATTTTTTTTTTTTTAAGAATTAAGTCTAAAGGAAGCTAAAATACATGAAAAGTATCTACCACTGGTTTTATTACCACTATATGTGCTAACAAGGAGCCCTGGTGGCGCAGTGGTTAAACACTTGGCTGCTAACCGAACTGAATGGTGGGTGGTTCAAATCCACCAGCTGATCCAGGGAAGAAAGATGTGGCAGTCTGCTTCCGTAAAGATTTATAGCTTTGAAAACTCTATGCGGGCAGTTCTGCTCTGTCCTATAGGGTCTCTAGGAGTTGGAATCAACTCAGTAACAGGTTTGGTTTGCTTTGATATGTGTGCTAACAATACCATGGTAAATGTCACATTCTAAACCCGAAAACACTGTCATTCTCATTTAACACTCCTGCTGAAACTCAGCCCTAAAGACAACAAATGTAGTATTAAATTCCTGGACCCCTTGGGCTATATTTAATAAACCTTACTCTGGTCTACTTCTGACACAAATCTCCCCTTTGCTGAGGAAGCAAAGGCCCTGTGTGAGCAAAAATAATAGGTAATATTTTAGTGTGCTTACTATACTCGAGGCTGTGTTCCAAGTACCTGACGTAAGATAGTTACTGTGATTATTTATAAGGTGTCCAAGATGACACAGCTAGTAAGTAGTAGACACAGTATATAACAGAAATCAGCGTCTGGCTCCAGTGGCCATGCTTTTAACCACCATTCTCTATTGCTTATGTAGACAGACATCCAAATTCATAAATTCATCTACAACTCATCAATTCACATCAAACCCCACAATAATCGCTCATTTTGAATGCGTTTTACTGTAGCAACTCTGCCTCTTGACATCGGTAGAATACATGGTTTATTTGCTTTTGTTAGGCAGCAATAAACAGCAATAGAAAGTGGGATATGTAAAATCTCTGTAGAAACTGCTAATCATATTGTTTGTTAGGAATTAGTAAAGCTGTCACTTGGAGGTAGAAGAAAGATAGGTTTGTTTCAAACTCTGATCCTGCCCTATTCCCAGCAGCCTTTGACCTCTTCTTTTCCACTCACGATTTTCTTCAGTGTGGGTGTATGTGCGTGTTGGGTTCCCATTGTTGGTACCATATATTTCTCACCCTCTGCTGCTTTGCACCCTTAAATTCATTTATTTGATTAATTGTGATAACACCCCAGAACCTAGTATCACATGGTCAGGAGACAGTTCTTTCTCTGTGTCAATAAATAATTGTTCACTGATTATGCTTCTTGCTTCTAGTAAGTTGAGTAATGGTAGCAATTACCACTAAACTACACTAACTACCTACAGATGTTGTGTGTGTCAAAGTTGTGCTTCTTCCTAGACTTGTCCTTTCCCTGTGAGAGCTGGAGGGCAAGAAGAATGGCTTTTGGAAGCTGTAGGATTTGGACATGTGGCTTTCTTGAATCTGGTCAGCTCAGTAATTCTTACAACTGTTTTCATTTCTACCCATGTATTCATATGTCTAACTGTACCTAATGTGCAGCTAAAGAGGCTGTAATTACTTTACTGGAAACGATGAAAAATTAGAATAACTCCCCTTATCTGGTGCTGGATCTTAAGAAATGATACAATACCCAGAATTTCGTATTAATTTAGTATTAAAAAGGTGTTAATTTTTAACTTTTTTTTTCAGGGGGTGGAGGGACAGGGAAATAGTTCTCACTCAGGACTGGTTTTAAAGTATGAAGATGCCTCTTCTTTCCTGGCTGCTCAAAAAATCAGCCATCACAACTGACGCAGTAACTTTCAGAGCAATAAATCCATGAAAAATGAATGCTTTGGTGGAAAGAGTAGATCAACGATTTCCTTCATCCTGGAAAAGTAATACTATTTAAGACTGAAATACTAGGCAAAGTGTACCTGACTATGCTGGATGTTATTTGACTTTCAGATTCAGAAATTGTCTTTCCTTTTGGCAAGACAATCTGCTTTGGAATGGTTTACATTCTTTAAATTAGAGTAAAATAAAATAATAACATCTTCAGCACAGACTAGCAAAGCATGATCTCAATGAGAAGTATTTTGAGAACACAGATAAAGGCATGGAATGCAAAATAAAATAAAGAAAATTAAGTGTAGAGCAAAGACAAATAAGGGTGCTGTGGGGGATAAAAGATGATAGAATGACTTGGTCAATGGAGAC